TTTACCTTATAATATAAAGCAGTTTAAGGGAACTGTTGCTATGATTTAGCACTATATTGATTAAATTGAATTGAACTGAAATGATTTGAAGATTCCACAATACACACTCTGTGTCAGGGCATAATTCTGATGAACTCTATGCACCCATGATAAAAATGTGGTAAGTTGTGCAGAAGTTTTAAAATATGGAAAATGAGGGAAATTTAAAAATATTATAATTCTTCAGAGAGTTGGTTATCACAGCCAATTAATTATTAAGCAGGTCCTTAATCAGGGATGTGATGAGAGCCCAAATGTTCAATTCAAAGTTGTTTTTTTATACTTGCACTGCAGCTGTAAACTAATCTTGACGCGCAAGAACACAGATATCCAATGCTGTCACAAGTATGAAAAGAAAGTCAAAAATAGAACTATTTTGGCTTTAAGCATAGTGTCTGGCAAACACTAGACAATAACCTGCTTTTCTGTAAAACCCTCAACGTTGCAAAACCTTTTTGGCCAGAAAAGAAAATGAACTACAAAAATTAGAAAACATATTTATTAGTAATATTTCAGATAACAATGCAACAACAGATATTATATACCTGAAACAAATTGTTGATGTCGTTGTCCCCAGGTCGTTGGTCCAGGTTTCTCTGGTTTTATATTTTTGATTATTCTTGGTTCCAGTGTCAACATTATTGTTGACATTTGGGCTTTCTGTTATGGTGCTATGGTTACTTTCAGGTTATCTGTGTATGTAGCTAACAAGAGGTTGTTTACCAGTTGGGTTTGTGTCATACTGCCTGTTACACAGCCAACCTTGACATAAATATCAACATGTTGCTTGAAAACTCAGAGCATCACCTTTGTACTACCCTCTTGGTTTTCATGCTGCAACTGTGCTGATTGATAGCAGATGGTCAGCAAGACATCTTCCCAACCTGTTAAGTCCAACCTTGAGTAACATGAGCTCTTGAATGGAAGTTGACCATGTCAACACTTCACCTGTCCATCAGCTAAAGCATGCAGCACAGGAAATGCCACAGATTTTCCAATCACAGTGAGTACCTAACTGTTTTTGAGTGGCCCAGCCAATGCCCAGGACACAGCTGAAGATGGTCATTGACAGATTTTTCATACCCAGTGAGATAAAGCTTGAAAAACAGGAAGAGTTGTCTAAATGGCTGAAATTCATGTATATAACTGAATTTTTTTTAGCAATTTCACCCTATTGGCCTTGTTTGACTGACCTGTGGTAAAGATGTATCCAAAAAAACCCTGACACAATAACTGCTGCAGCTTCCACAAAATGTTGGATCAACAGAGAGATTTCTGTAATTTTCAGTAATGCACATATAATATCATTGCAAGCAACTGTGTAATTGTTCTTTTTGTAAGTTTCTTTTTTTTACTGCTATGAAAAAGAGTATAAAAGAGTGTCTCAACATCTGCATGCACTTGCATTTTGAGTTAAATATAAACATGGTCATTGGATTTTTTTTGATCATCGTAAATGTGAAATGTAAATTCGACATCATAAGAGCCCCAGCAGAGATATTGTTCAATGTATTCTTTCTTCTTACTCTGCTTAATTTTATTAGTTAGTTTTATGATTAGCAAACATTTTGAAAAATGAATACATTAAGGGGTTTCTCAGTCATATTATTTTTATGCACAAGGCAGAAACTTTCTAAAATGTTATCAGATGATGGCTTTCTCGCTCATGTATGATCTATTTGAAACAATTTATCTTGGAAAAAAAATGATGGAGATGCGCAAAATGAGCTGCGCTGCCTCACCAGGAGAAACTGTTGAAAATTCATTAAAATGACACATTCGCACTCACTTTTTGTACCCTTAAAAGAAAGAAATGTCATCCCCCCCACTGCTGCCATCAGTTCCTCTGCTCTGCTGGAGGATTTTCCCATCCATAGCTAAGGGAGGTATGCTCCATTGTGCAGCTTCTAATGATGATTGTAATGATGGCTTGTCCATCTTTGATAAGAAACAGCACGCCCCTCATTAAAGGCCCTGGGGCCCTGGTTCTCATGGCTGCCGGTGCTTCCCCAGGAGTTGGACAGCAGGCGAAGGGGAGGCGAGACGACACCCGTGGCACACGCCTGTTGACCGTGCCACAAAGCAAAAGCGTGTGACACTCGCCCTACCCCCGCCGCTCCTATTGTCCTCCCCATGGGTCCCACAGACAAGACCAATCCTGTTACCCTCCCACCCCATGCCCCCACGCCCACATCCAACAACACACACTGCTGCCTAACACTCCCCTCCATCCTTTCTCCCTCTCCTTCATGATCAGTTTTACCAATCAGCTGATCGCTCCCTTTCTCACACACCCACCAGTGTTGCCTTCCTTCCCTTCTCTCCCCTCCCCACCCTCCGCCCACCTCCTCCTTAACCTCCCCTCTTTCTCCATCAGCTGCTATGTAAGGTGGAAATCCATCATTATGTGTAAAGAAGGTGCTTGTGCATGCTGCTCAGCCATTACAATGCATACACACAAACACACATGCATGCAAACACTTATTTGGGGTGTGTTGGGTTGGGGCCTGATTGGTCCAGGAGGTTTTGGGTGGGGGACTTTAATTCACTGATTCAAATGCAGACAGTATTTCTTGGTGGTGTTGGTGGAGGAGGGTGTGGCAGGTGGGTGGGGTCTGTATTTTAGGGATGCTGGATAGTGGTCACGGACGTGGGATGGAGGAAAGAACAGGAGGAGGGAGGCACGGGGTGATGGGAGGGAGGATGAAGAGGAGGGGGAGCTGCAGCGGCTGCTGGGGTCAGGACTGTGTGTCCTGGGAAAGTTGGGTTCTCCATTTAAATCTGCACATGTTGTGGCCTTCTGGTGGCTGCGTGAATGTGCACGCTGACAGATGGCCCCGGCCCATAACTATAGAGTCCATGCACCCCGGTCCCCTGAGGGAGAGAGCGAGAGAGTGTGACAGATAGAGATAGAAAGAGAGAGCGAGAGAGAGAGAGGTTGCTAGAGAAGAAGAAGAAGAAGAGAATGTAGCGCTCAGCTGATCCCATCAAAAAGAGAGACAAGGGATCGAGGAAAGGCAGAGTAAGGGGAAAGAGGAGGGATGTTGCATGTGTGTGTGTGTGTGTGTTCATAAAGGGGGAGGGGTGGGCCCTTAATCCCAAACTCTAAATTGAGTTAATGTATTTGCTTGGTCTGCATACTCCAAAAGGAGGCCTGGGGTCCCCAAAGATTCTGATTAGGTGTCTAGTTTATCAGATGTTGGAGGGTGGGGAGGGTTTAGGGGAGACTGTTTGTACATGAGTAGAATAGCAGCTTTGTATGTTAGGTGTGTGTGTGATTGTGTCTCTGTGTTGATGAGATTTATGTGTTTGTGTGTGCGTTGCCAGCTTCAGACGCTGCCCCATGTCTCCATTCACTGAGCTGGTAGATCTCTGGTGCGTTCCTCTTTGTTAATCCTTTTAGGCAACAGTGTCCTTCGCTGGTTTAAGATGATTTCTTAGCAATGTTTCGTCTGCCTTCAGGACGACGAATTGTCTGACTTTGAAGACAAACGTTTTTAAAAGCATTAATATCATTTGCAGATGACAATTAAAAAAAAAAAACGGTTTGGTGTAATGACTTGATCACAGTTTATAGGCTGCATTATGTTCAGAAATCCTCTGTAAGGGTAGAAAATGAAAACTTTTGCTTCCACACTTTTGTTGCCTACAATTATTCATATTTTTATGCAGATTATCAAACAAACACACAAATTAAAATAAGTTAAAAAAAAATAGATTAAATAAAAGTAAATTGATGAAAATGGGCCTTTTTGGATTGAATTGTAAATAAACATGTGGCTTGATTGTTTTTATGAGTGTTTACCTTTTGGAGTCCGTCTGTCAATACGGCTCTGAAGCATTTTACATTTTGTGTCACAACTTCACAACTTTATATCAAACAGAACTAAGAACAACTGGAGGACGTCATCTTGATAGTCTCTAATAAATACCATCCTTCTGGTTCCACCTCCTCAGCTCATGCACAGAGTGGTTGGAAATCTCTTCTTATCCTGAGGTATTAAGTTCTTGGAGTTTGCTCTTCTTTTTGTATTTGTAGATAAAAACACAGCTTCTTTGAGAAACAAATAGGAAACAAAGGGTTTTCTTTGCATATAGAGAAAGACAGAAACACCTGATATTTCTGTGCTGGGAGAGAGATTGTAAAAAGACGTCCTCTGGACAAATACTTCAACAATGCCAATTGCCATTAAAGAAACGGGAACACTTCATGCAATGTGTCCCTAAGAAATATATTCTTGTTCTCACTCTGTGGGGTGCTGTTGCTGTTAAATGCATGGCAACACATTCTGCCTCCCACATTCTGCCTCCCACACATTTCTCCAGGAGACTGCTGTGCAGAAATCACACACTTCACACAAAGGTGCCGGCTGGGCTTAGTGAAGCAGTTTCTCACCTCGTCTGTGATGACAGAATAAATCAAGGTTAGTTTATTTCATTGGGTAGCTGTAATCCTAATATTTAAAATCAATCACAATCTGCAAGAATTAAAGTTCCCTGTTTGACTCCATAAAGGAGAAAAAAGTATTTGTTTTTAGATTATTATTACTGGTCCAGTGCTTCATACTTTTATCCAAATTAATTTGGAAACTAATCTCAAGGGTTTGACCTTAAAACACAAAACTTTCATGTTACTTTGATCACACACATCAGAGACAATTTCCCTTTTTAAATAAATGCTGAATTAGATAACTATGAACTATTTATGATATTTATGGTCACTGTGATTTTTACTGAGGGTGTTATAACAGCTTTCCCCCGTCACGATATGCAGCCGCCTCTCGCCACTTCTGATGTTTTCAGCCTTCCCTCTCTTTCTCTGCTGAAGCATTAGACCTGCAGTCTACAGCTTGTCTGAGTAATGATTTGCTACTGCTCCTTCAGTCTCCACAGCTGAAATGATTTAACCACCAGAGGGCATAGCAACGCTTCTTTCTCATTTTCACTAAGCAGCAGGTTGGCAGAAATGAACTGATGTCACAGTAACAGTGAGTCAGCATTTGTATTGATCTTTTGTTGCTATGTATGTTATTATGTCGGCTATTTCGTCAACATTAACATTTATTCAGCAGAGGAGTTTCATGGTGCTCCATCTGCGAAGATGATTTCTTTTTTTCTTTTTGTATATAGGAATGAAATCAAATCCGTATTTAACGGTAAACGTTTCTGGTAAGCTTAGCTGATTTCACTTGGAGAGCTCTGCAGCTTCAGATGGCGCTCAGCTCTGTAAGCCTCTTATAGGAGACACGACCACAGCAGATGCAGGGAGAATGCCAATCAGGAGCTCCTGCTGAGCAGAGAAACCCGACGGCTGTGCCACTGCCTGCTCCAAATATCTGACATGGTTAACACAAATCTCCGAAGTACCATTTAGCGTTTTAGATTTGCAGTAGAGAAGCCCAGTCAGAAGAAACAGTGTTCAGGAAAATGGAGCAAACGGGAAGCCTCCAACAAATCTGAACCGCCATAAAACTTCGGATCTTCTTCTGTGCAAAGGCAGAGCCATGCTCCCTCAGGATATTGGGAAGCAGAAGCCTCGCCTTGTGTCGGACCCGGTGTGCGCAGGGGACTGTCCCCCGGTCCCGCCTCTGCACCTGAAGAACCGGGACTTTCCGCTGAGCATGAAGCGCCTTCGTTCCGGCTCCGCGCCCGAGCGCAAGGTGCACTGCGTCCTGGTTGGAGACGGAGGGGTGGGCAAAACCAGCCTCATCGTGAGCTACACCACCAATGGATACCCAACAGAATATGTCCCCACAGCGTTTGACAACTTTACCGGTAAATCTTGATCGTTAGTGTAGCTGATCCAGCGAGACACACACACACACACACACACACACACACACACACACACACACACACACACACACACACACACACACACACACTTCTTACATGCCTCAGTTAGTCGTTTATCCACATTTTCGGTCACAAGAAGCGTTTATTGCTGCAAAGCTTACTGAAGCTGTAAAGGATCATAGCTCAAAACATACTGTAAGCTGTCTTTTGATCTTCTTAGCGATGGTTGTGGTTGACGGAAAGCCGGTGAGGCTGCAGCTCTGTGACATGGCTGGACAGGTGAGCATCAGCTTTTCTTTTTAGTTTCTTATTTTAAAAAGCTAGCAATTGATATGATGAATTGGAGAGCTGGAGTTAAAATATTGATGTATGCAGTGTAAATTAAGTTTACTCCTCTCTTCCTTATAATGCGTTGCCATGATAGAAATGGGGGCTGGTTGATGGATCGATTAATGTAAGTCATCAGTGATCGATGAGTAGTTGTCAGTCATTGGATCCAAAATTAGCAGTGATTGTTTGTGCTGGCTGCCCCCTGCAGAGTACACAAGGATTTAAGTCCAGAGGTAAAAGCAAGTCCTGGACTTAAATCCTTTATCACCCCTTCAGTTTGAGTTGCCCACCAATCCCAAGTATGTCCCTGTAAGCCCCCAGTTTATGTCGCCCCCTGCAGGAATAAGTGAGTTTGTATTTCAGTAGTTTTTGTTTGTTTTTTTTGTTTTTTTGTGCTCCTTGTGCTCTATCGACTTTTTGAGGATTCTCTTATCTTCACCCTTTCTCTAATAGACTAATCAGTGATAGATTGGACAAAGATTTACACCCAGGTTGTTTTGTTCTTTATAAAATAAATGATAGGGTTGGGCTATCCAACTTATAACAAAACCCTTTTCCACGCCTTATCACCGTAAATGATCTACAGATGAATGGCCCCATGAATGTAATCTTGTATGAGGAAGACCAATAGCAGTAACATCACCATAACAGAAGCTGCTGAAAACACTCATTAAAGAATCAAATTGGGAATTAGCCATGCTCGCAGCAGTACTTGTGCTCAGTTCTGATCAGTGTAAGTAAATAAACTATATTATTTATTTCTATATATTATACTTTATCTGTGTTTCTTTTATGAGTGAAAACCAGCAATCACAATATTTCTGTAACAGGGTTAGGGCACTTACAATATTTTAAAAGAATAATTATTCCATAAGGAATATCTCCTCAGTGGAGTCAGCAGGCTTGGATCTGAGAGCCACAAATGAGGCGAGACAGATACGCCGCTGATGTTGATTTTTGTGGGAATAACTGACACAAACGCTGAATGAAGCCACCTGTCTGTCTGTAAAACAAATCCGCTTGATTATAATCTGGTTTGTCTTCATATTCACGCAGGGGAAGTTGGAGAGCCTCCGGCCCTTGTGCTACAAAAATGCTGATGTCTTCCTCCTCTGCTACAGCGTCGTCCGTCCCTGCTCTTTCCGTAACCTCACTACCAAATGGCTTCCTGAAATCCGTCAGCACTGTCCCAGCATGCCCGTGGTCCTGGTAGGCACCCAGCTGGACCTGAGAGAAGATGTTCAAGTACTGATCCACCTGGCACAGAACCAGCAGCAGCCAGTGTCCACAGAGGAGGGCCAGCGGCTTGCCCAGGAGCTTGGGGCAGTGAGTTTTGCAGAGTGCTCAGCACTGACTCAGAAAAACCTGAAGGACACTTTTGATTCAGCTATCTTAGCTAGCATCCAGTACACAGAGAGCAACAACGTCCAGCAGCAGAAGAGGCTAACGCTCAGGAAGAAGACCCCTGATAAGATCAAGAGCCTTTCAGAGACCTGGTGGAGGAAAATCAACTGCCTGATGGGAGAGCAGAGCTGTGAATTCAAATGAACACAGTTTGATTACAAACCTGAGTGATGTTGTCTTTTACAGAGCTGACCAGGTGACAGATAATGCCAGTAGAGGAGGCATTATCAACACAAAGAGCAACACAAGTTCCTGAAATAATTCAAATAGCAGTTAAAAACTCTCAAACTGACAGGAAAATTCTGCTAGAAAAATGTTAATAGATCCCCAACAATTGAATAAGTGCATGTTAGAGTACATAGAAAATGAGCTGCACAGCCAGTGTAAAGAGTCTTTGTCATTTATGAGGTATCTAGAGTATAAAGACAGATTTTAGTAAACTGCATTATGTAGTAGAAATGTAGTACCTGTAGTCTTGATGCATGTTCAATCATCCAGCTACGGAAAGATGTTTTTGTGCTGCGTTGATTTTTGACAATTTATTGAAGTGCAGCACTGCATTGCAGGAGCACTGCACTGGAATCCTGTTACTAAACCATCAACTACATAATTGCCATCAACAAAAGAAGGTGGTTGCAAGGAGAAATATTCAGCAGATCATTCAGTGTGCAAAAAGTTCCTAAAACACAACTAGGACTCGAAGATATTTAATAAAATAATGAAAGTAATGTTAATATGAAATGCACTTTGTAAACAATGAACAAATGATGCATGTAAGAATCATTTGTACTCTAAATCATTTTTCCTGACTTGTGAACTGAGAAATGAGCAGAATCTGAGGCTACATGTAGATTTGTGATTGTGGGTTCATATTTTAGCCCTGATTTCGTTAGCCTCACTCATCTAAAGGGTAAAAAAAAAGAAGTATTTGGTTTGTTTGTCACTTTTACACCCAAACATTATATACTCTTTGTTAGTTGTAGATTATTTATTGTGTGTTTATATTTATTGATTTGAATGCCATTCCTGATCATGAAATATGCTCAGAAGCCTTGAATAAAAGTTTATTACACCTGTGCAAGATCGTTTCTTTTAACAACAGAACAAAAGAAAGGTCACTTATAAAGGACTAGAAATCGTAGGACAAAACTTGAATGATTTGTTTGTGCACTTTTATCTTTCAACAGAAAGCTCAATATCAAATTAGAGCATTAATTGTTGATTGAATTAAGTGTTGCTGATTGCGTACTTAGCACTTTGGTCCACCTAAGCAACTCTACAAACTCTACAAAACCCGACTTGACAAGGTGAACCTACATGGATAAAAAGTATCTCTATCTTTAGAAGTTGGTTTTGAAAGCAGGCAGTCAGGGAGCAACTCCTAGTAAGCTGGTAAGCCAGCCTGTGGATTCATTGTGAACCTGGTGGAGTCTCCCCCACTGGCAGCCTCCTCTAATAGAAGCAGACAGGACCACCTGGACTGGATTAGACCAGTTTATTTAGCCTGTGTCTCTTCACATGAAGGCGCGCCTCTCTCACACCTCAAGAAGCAGGAAAAGCAGATTGGTACACTTTCATTGGTTTAGCAAAATCTCATGTGCAAACTGTAAGTAAGAAAAACATTTACAGCACTTTACACACACAGACTGCTCAGCACACACACAATATGCATTTTGTACTTTCATTTTCAGGAGTTTTAACCCACTTTTAACAAAACTCTAAAACTGACGGTCAGTCAAAGTTTACTATTGTAAATGTTAAATATATGCGTGCACACATATGTGTAAATATACAGCTATAGTTCATAAAAATAATTAATCCAGTGATCAGAAATGTTGGAACTACGGGAAAGAAAATGAAAGAAAAAATATACTTTATTAGAAAATTGTAGCATGTAACCAGAAGACTAAAAAGCTCAAATTAATACAATTCTATTAAAAGTTTATTGTCAATGTTTTTAATCATTAGATAAAATAAAAGTAAATTTTTAGCATATGCTACCTAGATGTTTATTCGACTAGTTTATTGCCTTCTTTTTATTTCATTTACACCACTCAGCAGCATGCTGACCAGAAGTTTAACAGGTAGCCTGACCTGACCTGGCCTAAATTCCCCAGCACAGAGGCACAAACAGCTTGGGAGATTTTACAGGCAGGTGTTGTGATTCGCTCTCTGGAAATCTGGGTGCTAATGCTCATCCCCTCAGGATTTCTCTGAAGAACATATTGTCCTGATTCAGCAGACTGTATGAGACCTACCCATAATCTATTTGAAAATTTAAACAACTTCCTGTTTCAGTTAGAAGAAGAAGAAGAAGAAGAAGCCTTTCAGAAATATCAAGTTTAGGTTTAAAAAATAATCCTGATTGAAAACTTTGCTAACTTTTTCAGGCTGTGATATTTATTAGGGGAAACACAACGTTGGACAATGTTTGGCACCAGAGCAAACATGTTAATAACAAGATGCTAAAATATGTACGCATGTCATGAACTGGACCCCAAACGCAGACTCACGGAGACAGACTGAACTCAAAAAACACCTTTATTGCTGAACACCAAAAATACAAACTAACTAAACTGGGAATACACACAAACTAAATGAGCAAGCAGGCAGACAGAGACGGAACGAGACACACATAAGGTGCTGGGGAAACATGGAAAAACGTGATAGAAGAGGCAAACAGGGAATGAAACGCAAAGAGAGGAACATGGCAGCAGAGCAGGGAAGAAGACACAAGGACAGACCCATAAACACTGAACACACCGAGAGGGACACAGAGGACAAAGACACAAGGGGAACCTAATAGACAAGAACTAAATGGGGAGACAATTAAAAATATTGAATAAACTCGTGACTAACAAAATGAACGTAAACTATAATACAAAACAACATCAAAACACAAGAACTCAAAGCACTGGGTCAAATGACCCTGGACATTGACAATGAATGCATTTTGTTTGAAAAGTCTGAGACTGGAACCAGCACACTTTAGAAATAATGATAAAAGGCAGCCCTGAAGAAGATATGCTTTTCGAAGTCAAGCCCAGTATCTAAAATCACACCCAAGTTTCAGGTGCTCAAGCAGTTTTAGTGTCAGTAGCATTAACAAGAAGTGAATCTGGTGCTTTGAAACCTTGGAATTTGCTGAAATAATCTCTGTTTTGTCTTCCTTTACCTGTAAAACAGAAGATTGTTGTTGCAAATACTTATAAAAATTATGAAAATGCATTTCAAAATCCTTTTATTTTGATTAGACGTTATTCTGATGTCATCTATAGATTATAGAGGATGTCAGGATGGTTGGAGGCCAGCAGATGAAGAGACTCTACTGAACAGGTGTCAGAGTAATTGGATGTTCTTCACTAAAGTTTAGTTGAGTGGGTAAAAGGGGGACGACATCTTGTGCCAAAGGCCAAGAGTTACACACTGACCAGAGAATGAAGCAACAAACTGCAGAGCCTTCAGTTCAGGCCCCTCTTCTGTGGAACCAGCTCCCAGTTTGGATTCAGGAGACAGACCGTTCTCCTGCAGCCAGTTAGGGCTCGATCAGGTGACCCTGAATTCTCTCTTAGTTACACTGCTTAGAGCTGGGTTTGCATCACTGTTACTTCTGCTGCCTCCTCGCAGGGACTCACCAGCAAAAAAGGAGGTTTCAGAGAATTTAGAGCAAACATGTTTAGATTGATGATATAATTGAAGCACGATCAGTTATATTGTAGCCTCTAGTCTGATCATTTTAAATGTGCTCTAATAATAATTTGGCTCAACTTTAACAACTTCATATTTTGTCTTCCAGTTTAAACTCCATCAATAGTGTAAAAATTCACGATATACTTTTAAAACCAACTGGTAACTGATCTGCTGTTTACTGATGTACTGTTTACTTACACCGAACTTCTATGAACACAGACACAGAGAAGTAGTGTCTCTGCAGGTCAAGATTCCTCTTTCATTTGTACAAAGTGTAATTAGCTGCTGCATTAATGGCTGCCTTTAAAGCATGAACCTCTCACATTGCAAACACACATTGTTGACGTGTTGCTGGAGACACAGTGAAGTGAACTCACACACAGATGGAGAGCGGTAATCCTCATATCCTGTGAAAGCAAAGGAGATGATGTCTCCAGGATAAAAGCAGTCTGTATAAGTAGAAGTTTGAACTCTAGATCCACCTGCGTCATAAAATTCCTAACATGTTTCTGAAAATACTGTCAGTGTGTGTTCATCACTTCCTGTAACGGTCTGAGTTGTAAGCTTGTAAACTAATAAACTAATAGAGAAGACCTTCATTACACTGAGACAACGCGTTTTGGGCTGAAGATGGCACCAGAGCTCACTAACCTGAATCTCCTCTTTCAACTGGCCACTCTACAATTTGTTCGTTCTTTGAATTCTGTATCACAGCAATAAAAACACAACTTTAAAGAAGATACTTCCATGACAGTTAACACTAAACTGCCATATGTTTCTGGGAAATAAAATAGAATCCTACTGAAAATTTTCTAAAATGAGCTTTATGCTCATGGTGATGAGTTACATTCATCGCAGGTCGGGAACTCCCAAAGAAACACACAGCAGATCCAGGCTGTGTTCACACTCTGAGATGTTTGTTTACTGTGCAGTGCAGAGGCCTCCTCCACAGAGGCTTGATGTTTTGATCTGTGAAGTAATAAAGCGACACAACTACTGCAGAACAAATATTAAAAGGTTAAACTTGAGGTACAGTATAGAGTTTAAGAACAGTTCTCCTGTGTAAAGAGCTGCTCACCTTCTAGTACTGCTGACATTAGTGGTGGAAAATACAACACTTTCATCCTGGTATCTCTCACGCTGACTTCGGTTAAAGTTGGAGTTAGTAGAGTCTGGCTGGGTTGAAGCGAATTGTACAGCAGCGTAATGAATCTCATCCATCTGATGGACACATGGGTCTTGTTGACACTTGAAAGCTCCAGTGAGTAGCATTGTTAATTAAGTGGAGGTGAATAATATGGGTGAACAAAGTGTCCATAGATACAGTTGTTGTAATCAGCCTGTGTGATGAGTTTGAGCCGATGGGTGACACAGCATGACTCACCTGTGCTCTGTTGTCTTGCCTCTCTGCAGCCTCTGATTGTTGTTTCAGTGACCTTCTGAGTAGATAATAAAATACATGTTAAACAAAAAACAGGATAGATTCATGTTTTAAGCATGCGAATGTCCAATGACATAAGACTGGACAGTACGAAGAAGAGGAATGATTAAAGCTAACAGAAACTTTATACAACATTATTGTTGCAGTTTAAATTATTAAACCTACCTTATGTACAAAAAAGTGAAGTTGTGAGGATAAACTGTAACGTAAATATACCAGATAAGGTCAGGATAAACATTCAAAAGAAGTCAACATTAGATATGAGGCCATGTTTCATCTGTATGCAGCTCTCGCAGAATCTTAAAATTCTAGCCAGCTTCTCACGTAAAAGCTTTTTGCTCACAAATATTCTGTAGTTTCCTTGCTGATGGTGTTTTTCTTACATTGTGCTAAAGATTTTCAAAAGGAGTTAAATCAATGCACTGATATGGTCACTCATATCTTTTAGGCTAGAGTCTTTAACAAACTTTTGGCTAATATGTTTTTGTAGCAAGTACACTGATCATGTTCTCATAATCTGTCCTAATTTATCAGTTTCACGATATGTACTAGGATTTTTAAACTTGTGAATGATACTGCCAACTAAGCGTCAGTGGACTTTAAATTTCTCTGGATGAGAAATCAAATAAGAAACATCCCACCTACTTCAGAGCAAGAGAAAGAGTAGTGTGACGACCAGAGCAGTAGCAGCGACTGAGAGAGTGATGGGGAAGTTTCCGATTAAAATATACATTTGAAAATATACATGTGTATACATTATCACTCTCACTGCACTTTATGTACATTAAAAAATAAATAAATAAAAAAAAATAAAATCTATATTTTCATGCATAACCATTTGCCCATAGTATAGCTTATCTTATAAGTATATTTTAAAAACGTGTGTCTATGATTTTAATTTTTTCAAATTGTTACTTGTCTGTATTCAGTT